ATTTGATTGGCATTCTTGGATCATGCTTTAGAAATTTCCAGAATCAATTGATCGATGATCTATTTCTATAAAAGGTGTGATCATCGTTATCCATTTATAGTATATTCCCGGACTATATTTTTAATTTTATTGGATAATAAACATAATAAATCTAAATATTACACAATAATTTGACAAAAATTTTTTATTTATGATAAATGATATCGATACTATGTGTGATTGGCCAACGACCTCTGTGCATTTCCGAAAAATGAGAAAGTCCCCCATCTATTTTAGATAACGTTCCCACAAAAAATTGGTCAACCCCGGTAATTTTGACCAATCAAAATTTAAGATCAGGTATCAAAACAAAAGTATTTTGTTTTCTAAGTAAAAAAGTTACATGTAAAATGAAAACCAAGTAAAACATCACGAAGAACATTTTTAATTAGGCCGCAGAAAGTGGTTTCCTAATTAAAAATTAGAGCTATTTGATTTTTATATTACACCTGATCCTGAAATTCAATTTGTCAAAAACATAGGGAGTGGACAATTTTTTGTGGGAGAGCTAAGGGCGTCTATTAAATCTTGGCCAATCAAAATAGATCATATAGTATTTTTTTTTCAGATTAAAGGTTCGAATAATCCTTATTCTCAATTCGAAATATATTTTGGATCTATTCACCTAAAATTGGATATAAAAGTGACGAATGATTTTTTGGCCGATTCGGTTAAGTAGTGACTTCGACATAATCGATAAATAAATTACAATTTACATTACATTACATACCGATACATATAGATTACATTGTAATTTGAAATATATATTTTTTCACAAACTAAATACACTAAACATGTTGGACAAGTATTTAAATGAAAATTTAATAATATTAAACATGCCGACATTTATAATGTTAAAATTATCTGTAGAACAAGTATCATATATAATACGTATGTTTTTTATATATAGGGGTATAGTGATATATAGGATGGAAATTTGCGTAATTTTTACGTGCAAGTAATTTTTTTGTAATGCAGGTCAATAACATGTGCCACTGCGTAATTAATGTAAAAAGTTACGTACGGTATGTGCATAACGCACAATTTGTAATTTTACTGAATTTATTATGTCAAATTATCGGATTAATCCAAATTAGTCAGATTACAGATCAAAGCACTAAGATTAGAAAAATTAAATATCGATATCGGGGAAGTAATTGAAAATTATACTGTAGTTTTTATCTAATATTATTTAGTTTGTGATCTATATATTTATTTTTATTAAACAAAAACCACCTTGCCAATACTAAATAAAAAATTCATAAATATAAATTAAATACAAATCATAAATTTATATAGCTATATAAAAAAAACAACTCTTAATCAAATTGAAAAATCATATTGATAGATAAAAGGGTAAGAAATTAATAACAATAATTAATGTTCATTGTTATATATCGCCTACTCAATTTATCTTTAAACCTTATTCTTGTTAATAAATAAATAAATAAATAAATATACTATATATAAAACTTAAGCTGTATAACAACTTGAATTATGAGTAGTTGCTGTACAAATAGTTACAATTATCATACTCGAATTGATATTTCAAGAATAATTTAAAGTCCTAATTTCAAAGTAGGCATGGTATCGAAGGATCAAAAAGCAACATTGCTAGAAATGCTTGGCTGCCACAAGCCAGTTATTCTAGTAATAACTTTCTGACACCTCTAGCCCTAAATTTCGAGGATATAAAGAATCGATAAGCTGGACTTTCGTAGTTTGTATTTATACTAAAAAACAAAATTAAAAGTGCTTTTACTTTTTCATTCTACCTGAGATTTCTGTTCTTAATAAGCCCCTTTTAGGACAACGGTCAGATTCTTGAGTGCACCAGTTCAGCTAGATTGATTCAAAGAACGTGTATTAATTGTGAGCATCTTATCTGGTTTGATTTTTATATGTTAAAACCATATATACCTGGCAGAAATTGTGACAAGTGTTCATGTATACACCAGGACAGATGGGTTGCAGCTGGTTTTGTCAAGCCCGTTCCCTTGTTAATCTATTCATATGCTTTACTAATTAGATAACAAGGCATTATGTTATCTTAAGGGAGTTATAGTTACTTCTGCTGTTTACCTGCGCTTGTTTGGATTTTTTCACTTTGATATGACAGCGGTAAGTCTGCGGGTAAACAATGTCACTAAGCTATTTCTGCATTCTCCACTAGTGATATAATAAAATATTGAATCAGAATATTATTTAAACTTCCCATAAATTAGGCAAAATGATTCTTATGATATAACCTTTTAACCAAATATATGTCAGTTATGTTAGGAGTTTTGGAAATGTATGTGTGCCATATTATGGGATTATAGCTATGGATATTAAGCTAGATCCGCAAAAAAATAATAGCCACAGAATTTATTCTACCTTCATATGTACTATTTGCGCAAATATACACTCGAATCCTGTATATATATACTATTACTTTTCAGACATTGAGACAGAGTGTCAAAAAAATGCACAACCATATCTTCTTGACTCGTTGGTGGCAGTGTTGGTGTTAAAATATATAAATAGGTTCCAACTACCACCGTTGAGCCAAGAGAGATATGGAAGGCTAAAAATATAGTTTAGCTCTTATCCTGTTGCCTGAATTTCATAGATACATATACCATCGAGAGATAATGAAAGATATATATATTTTTTTTAAAAAATTTTATAGAATCTATATTAATTCCAATAAGATGCCAAACAAGTATAGAAAAAATATTGCTTGGTTTTAGCATTCCTTGGATTTTACTTAAATAAATTATAATAAGTTATTCACAGTTTCACTTAATTCATATTGCCCACATCCATCAGTAGATAAATTAACCTGTCTCATAATGATCTTAAATAAATTATAATAAGTCATTCGCAGTTTCACTTAATTCATATTGCCCATATCCATCAGTAAGTAAAACTAAACCTGTCTCATAACAGTCTATATCTAGCTCACATTCCATATTAATAGGTAAACAATTGCAACAACACTTCATCAGTAGATAAAATTACCTGTCTAGCAATGATCTATACCCAGTACCATATTAATAAGTAAACAATTGCAACATTTTATTAATAGATAAAACTAACCTATCTTACGATAATCTACATTTAGCTCATGTTCCATATTAATGATAAACAATTGCAATAGCACTTTATCAAGTAGATAACGCTAATCTGTCTTATGACAGTTTATACCATATTAATGGATTAGCTTACCTGTCTCACGACGGTCTATACCCAGCTCATATTCTATATTAATGGTGAATAATGCTTTATCAATGATCTGTCTCATGACAGATAAACCCAGTTCATGTTCTCTATTAGTAGGTGAACATTCTAACACTCTAACATTACTGAATTCTGCTTCAGTATAATAGGAAAAGCCGATATTGAAGGATCAAAAAGCAACGTTACTATGAACATTTGTGGTAACTTTCTAATACCTCTAGCTTGAATACTTCCATATTTTGTTCACACTAAAAACCAAATCAAAAGCTCCTAAGGACACTTGTGCTATCTTTTAGTAGATGTGCCGCTCTAGCTAAACTCTCTACCTAACAATGTCTTTAGCTCACATCAACCAGTAAATGGTCTTAAAAGCTAAAAGGTGGGCATGACATTCAATAAGTAAAAAAAAATAATGGGGGTAGTAATATTTTAGTTGGGCGAACCCTTTTACCACTTATCCTACACCCCCATACGTCATTAACTAGAGTCAAGTACACCTTTTTCTGTTTTATTAGATAGTAGTTAGGGACAGTTAGGAACTATAGATCATTAATCTATCTATACTTGCGCTTGGTTGAATTTCTTCACTTTGATATTCAAAGCACTAGGCAAAAATCACCTTGCATAAACCACTTTTTTGAGAATTGAACTCTAATTTCCTATTATCATTGTGACCAAGATAGGCTTGCCTACTATCAATTTTACGGTTATTTAATAAATACATCCTTTTTTAGAAGTTAAACTTTACATATTTTATTTCGCCCTTTGAATGCATCTCTCAGGAATCAAACTCTAATTCTCTAATTCCCACGATGTTTCAGTATGCAATTTTAGAATTGCATGATCAACCATTTTTGGTTGTATTCATTGTATCCGGATGTGGGTACAATGATCAATATATGTACGTACGTACGTACAATAATTAACTGCCAGTTTTGTCAAAATTGCTGTACATCTATTCTATATAGAAATAAATTCCTATATATTACATTATTTATCGATGATCTTGCGGATGAAATAAGACAGTAAGCGAAACAAATTCCTATTGTCGTTAATAACTTGAATACTGGCTGGGTACTGTACTATAACGGATCATTTAACCGTTTTACCCCTTAAATGCTACTACCCACTATGTTTTTGTTTTAAGAAAAAAAATTTGAAAAATTTTCTTTCCTAGATGCAGTGCTTTTGGCCACCAAAGAGACCATCCCTTAGAGGTAGCGTCTTCAGCCACCAAGACAACAACCATTCAAGATTGATGCCAACCCTTAGACAACAATCATTCAAGATCATTGCTTAAAAAGACTATCCCCTAGAGGCAGCACCTTGGCTACTAAAGAAAGCAACCATTCAAGATTTATGCTAACCCTTAGAGGCAGCGCTTTTCACAAGTTGCTTTTTTTAATAATATTATCCTGCAGATAAGTAATACACATGAATTTTTAATCCTATCACTAGTAGATTATAATAATCTCTAGTTACCCTCAGACCTTTAATGCTGCTTATAATGAAAAAATTCAAAAATCCTCCCCTATAGCAGGCAAAAAAAGTTAAGCGACAACTATATTTTTTATTCAAAAAAATATTAAAAACCAACAACCCAAAAAACTCAGATTGTTTTTCATTTAAAGTTCATATATATAGAGAACTAGCGATACCAGAAAATTACAGAAAAAATTTCTGATTATATTATGCCATTCCTATTTCAGATCATTTAACTGCTTTTTCTCTGATTTCCCCTTCCCCATACTATAAAAACAAGCGATTTTGTCGTGTTTTAACTTTCTCGTATAATAGGATGCAGAAATTTAAATCAATTTGAACCCAATATAACCTAAATTTATTAGTGAGTAACCTGAAATTTAACCTACTGTAACCTAAGTGCGATTTGGTGTAATATTAAAATTACAAATTTTTGAAGCATCTATATGAACAAAACGCCTACAGCAAGAACTAGCAAATTAACCTTCCTATCTTAAAATCTCCTTTTAAACATCAAATCTAATGATATCTAAATACAATAAATAGGAACTTTATTCCTGTTAATTAACGAGCAAGACGGCAAAAACCTCATCTACAGCAACTCTTTACTAACAGAGTTCGTGTTTAAATTTGGTATTTCCTTGTGCTGAGTTGGTGAGAACTTTTTTCGCTTTAATAATTATACTCATGTGGCCAAGCTATGCAGGAACCTTAATAGTTTTACGTTATGATATGAAATAGAAGTTCTTACTACTTACCTTATGATTCTTCTATTTGCCACTCATGCAGTTTCAGGTCATATGAACTTTTTTATATTATCCTGTCAAATATTTGTGTCTTTTTATACATATATTGACAGATCTATATCAAATACGTGTATTGCATAGCATAACCTTGATGTAACGAAGGTATTGGGACTATTAGTTTCAGATTTGGCTATATACAGATTTACTAATAATTATAATAAAGCTTATTTATAGCTATTTTTTAAAAGTTATGAATGAAATTTCTATTTTCTATATACTTGTGGAGAAATTGGGAATATAAATAGTATTTTGGGTTAATTAGTTAGTAATATTTATCATTAAAAGATCAAACTTAAACTTGAAAAACTTGGTAGGTCAAATACTGTGGCAATTTCAGGTCTCGCTTCGAGGTAAGTACCCTCTTTATCTTAATATTATGTATTTGATTTTCTTTTAAAAAGTATTTTTTCATCACTTTACCTCATTGCTTATAATTGTATCATTTTAATTGACTGGAAATTGTATCATTTCAATTGATTTGATATTGTATCATTTCAATTGATTTTTTTTTTTTTTCCAATCTATCGGCAGCCTCGCCGGTATCTTTATTAGATCAAAGCATATATAATTACATATAAT